AATCTGGACCGATTTTCACGAAACTTGGCAGGCTCACGAAACTTCTAGGCTCAATTAAGTACGTTATGCCAAATTTCGTGCAAATCGAAGGATATATAGGGACTTTGGTGCACCATTTACATGAAATCGGACGAAACTATATATGGGAGCTATATCTAAATCTTGACCTATTTTCACGAAACTTGGCAGGCATCATTCTAGACTCAATTCAGTACGTTATGCCAAAATGCGTGCAAATCGAAAGATATTTAGCGACTTTGGTGGACCATTTACATCAAATCGGACGAAACTATATATGGGAGCTATATCTAAATCTGGACCGATTTTCTCCAAACTTGGCAGACATCACTCTAGGGTTAATTCAGTACGTTATATATAGGGACTTTGGGCACCATTTACATGAAATCGGACGAAACTATATATGGGAGTTATATCTAAATCTGGACCGATTTTCACGAAACTTGGCAAACATCATTCTAGACCTAAATGATTAGGCTGTACCAAATTTCGTGCAAATCGAAAGATATATAGGGACTTTGGGGCACCATTTACATGAAATCGGACGAAACTATATATGGGAGCTATATCTAAATCTGGACCGATTTTCACGAAACTAGACCTAAATGATTAGGCTGTACCAAATTTCGAAAGATATATAGGAACCGTCTACATTAAATCGGTTAAATATATATATGGGAGCTATATCTAAATCTGAACCGATTTTCTCCAATTTCAATAGGGTTCGTCCTTGGGCCGAATAAGTGACCTATGCCAAATTTCATCCAATTCGGATCATAAATGCGACCTGTACTTTGTTTACAATTTAACATGGACAGACAGACGGACGGACATGCATAAATCGACTTAGAAAGTGATTCTATGCATATTCTCAAAAGGAACCATGTGTCTATCTCGTTTCCTTTTGCCTGTTACAAACATATGCACAAAGACATAATACCCTGTACCACAGTGTGGTGAAGGGTATAATGATTGTATTGACGAAAGCACTCCTTGTCCCGATAATAATATAGAAGCTTAATGGCAAAGAATTGCCCACACCTTACAAACTACAGCAAAATCAACAACTGGGTACCACAGACCGCCATCAAGAATCCCAAGGTACGTAATGCGATGGAGAATTGTCGGGAGAGAAGGAGAGAGGAGATACGTATTTTCAGAAAAAAGAAAACAGTACAAGAAAGACGAAAGCGGGAGCAAATCGAGATGTGCAGGAATCAGAATGAGGTCCTGTTTCCCGTGCAAACAAATGAGACTAGACGCCAATGCCAACTATAGAGGAATAAGTCTCTTTGCCATCGCATATAAAGTGCTATCCAGCGTGCTGTGTGAACGTACCATCTTCAGGCCTGGCTAATCCACCATTGACCAAATTTTCTTGGAAAAGATCCACGAAAAACAAATCGACACATTTCACCTATTCGTCGACTATAAAGTAGCATTCGACAGCACTATCCGCTCAGAGGTGTTTAAAGCCATGTATACGTTCGGCATTCTAGCAAAATTAATACGGCTATACAGGATAACTTTAAGTGGCACAATGTCAGCTATTAATGTAGAAATGGACCTCTTGGAGCCCTTTAATACCGAACGAAGAATCAGACAAGGTGACAGTTTGTCGTGTGATCTCTTTAACATCCTGCAGGAAATGGTCATACGAGACGCAAAGGTGAACAGAAATGGCTCGCCTACGCCGGCAACATCGACATAATATGTTGAACATTGCGAACTGTAACAGCTACCTTTGAACAAATTGAGAAGGAGTCTGCCAAAGTGGGTCTGGCAGTAAACGGCGAGAAGACCAAGCTGATGGTATCAATGCTCAAGACGTCCATTAGACTCGGAAAAACTGTGGAAGTTGAGAACTTCAGCTTTGAGGTAGTCAATGATTTTATATACCTTGCTACCGGCATAAATAAAATCAATCACATCAGTATTGAAATTCAGAGAAGGATAGTATTGGCCAACAGATGCTACCATGGTCTGAGTAAGCAATTCGAAAACAAGGCCACCTCTCACCAAACCAAACTCACACTCAACTAGACACTAATACTACCCATGCTGTTCGATTGATTCAGTTCATACGATAGCCATACACTCACAGAGAAACTCCCAAAATTTGAAATCGATTGGGTTATTAGTTCTTGAGTTATCGTGCCCGCCATTCGCAAAAACGCGGTTTGGAGAAAAACGCCTTTAAAGTTTGCTGTCACTTGATGCTAACACAATAAATCGGCTATATCTTCAAAAATTTTTGAGATTTTCACTTGAAAATTTATAGGGACATTGTTGACTTAGTGTAGGTTAGAATTAAATCAAAATACAAAATTAAATTTTGTGAAACCGAGAATGGGGGGTCCCCTTAAATCAGACCAAAAACTCAGCTCACATATTTCCAGAATCAATTCAGTACGCTTTGGCAAATTTCGTGTAAATCGAATGATATATAGGGACTTTGGTGAACCATTTACATTAAATCGGACGAAAATATATACTTTCAAATGATCACTGCCCTTACAAGGAAAAATTCAAATAACAAAAATTAATTTCAGCCGAGCACGGCTAGGGCTCGAACCTAGGTCCTCTGAGCAACACTAATGTTGCCAAGACCGCTTAACGTTCTGAGCCATCAACACTTCCAAAAAAACGGTTGCGCAAAAACATGTGTATACCAGGAAGCAATTGTAGGTGTGTGGATTAATTGTCCATCTCTACAACAAAAATCTGCATTGAAAGGACTGTTCCTAGAATGAAGACAAATGTCGAACTTTGACAAATTTGAATTTAATTCGCATATTCAAGTTTCGCATCAGGGCGTAATAAATACAAGTTATCAACGTACGACATTTGTAAAGCCACATAGCCCAATATGCCTGATGAGCCGCTTAACCAACGGCGAAACGCGTCGCATAATGGTGGGTACGTAGGTTCTTCTCCTGGCTTTCCTTTTCATTGCAAAACTCGACTCGACAAGCTCGACTCGAAAGAGTATAAATAACCACTTAAAATATGGGAGCTATATATAAAACTGGACCGATTTTCACGAAACTTGACACACATCACTCCAGGCTCAATTAAGTACGTTATGACAAATTTCGTGCAAATCGAAAGATATATAGGAACTTTGTTGCACCATTTACCTTAAATCGGACGTAAATATACATGGGAAAATCTGAACCGATTTTCACGAAACTTGGCACACATCACTCGAGGCTCATTTCAGTACGCTATGCCAAATTTCGTGCAAATCGAAAGATATAGAGAGACTTTGGTGCACCATATACATTAAAACTTAACACACATCATTCTAGGCCCAATTCGTTACGCTGTGCCAAATTTCGTGCAAATCGAAAGATATATAATGACTTTGGTGCACCCTATACATTATATCGGACGATATTATATGTGGGAGCTATATCTAAATCTGAACCGATTTCCAGGAAACTTGGCAGACATTATTCTAGGCTCAATTCAGTACGCTATGCCAAATTTGGTGCAGATCGAAACACAAAGGGAGACTTTGGCGCACCATTTACATTAAATCGGACGAAAATGTATATGGGAGCTATATCTAAATCAAAACGGAATTTTCCCAATTTCAATAGGGTTCGTCCTTGGGCCAAATAAATAAGCTGTGCCAAATTATAAAAGCGACCTGTACTTTGTTTACAATTTAACACCAACAGACGGACGTGCATAAATCGACTCAGAAAGTGATTCTATGCATATTCTCAAAAGGAACTATGGGTGTATCTTGTTTCCTTTTGCCTGTTACAAACATATGCACAAAGATATAATACACTGTACCACAGTGTGGTGAAGGGTATAATCAAAAGATAACTTTTTTTTAAATATTTTAACCTTTAACCATTCTTTGCACACATCGATTGTCCAGATGTATGCAAAGAATGGTCAAAGAGGCTGCCGTTCCAATTCCCGTAATGACATAGTTTCCAGTGGCAACTACCGAAATATCGTTTAATTCAAATGACACCTCTTGTCGGAAAGCCTTCTACTTACTTGAAAGCCTTTTACTTACTTCACTTTTCGTATTTATTCCTTCTAATATGAATATTAAATATTCGCACCTTTGATTATTTATTTTTCCTTATAAAAAGTCATATGATAGCAATACAGACGAAATTATTTTAAACCACAACTAAATTTTATTGATTTAAATCTAATAATAACTACAAATTACGACTAAAGGTCATTGGAGGTTTTCAAAAAGGCGCTGACAGACATATTCTCATTATACAAATTTACGACATTACAGCAAAGTTCAGCCATTGACCGACCTTTAGCAGATACAAGTCAAAATATTATTGTTGACACTCATATTAATCCAATTGGATTCCATGGGAATAGGAAAAATTGCAATAAGAAATTTCACAGGAAAAGAAAACTAAGAATAGAATTTTAAAAGAAACCCAAATATTTTCTAATTTCAATCACTTATCCTTGACTTTGTCAGAAAACAACCGGCCGACAGACAGACACACACCATGGTAACCCGGAGAGCACGTGCTTATCTCACTAATCCCTCGGTGGAAATCAACAATGAGTGGGCCATGTTTTACCAAAAAACAAAATGGAAAAACAAAAAGAACAAGAACAAGAAAACAATTGAAATGTAAATTGGTCTTATGTTTAATTTTAAGTGGTCCCCCCTAATTGGATTAGGAGACAATTAAGAAATTCAGTCACTTCAAGTGTCTAAGGGATTTTTCGTTCACTTTTTTGGCTATCGCAGCCTATAAAAGGAAACTGTCACGGGACATGGACAACAGTTGTCGGACTTACCTGATCGAAGTGCCAAAAACAAAAGCCAACGTGAAACGGATACGAAAAAGTGAAACGAAAAAATAACTAAAACCTCCAGAGGATATCCTGACACAAGCAATGGAAACAAGACAACATTAAAAAGGATAACACCACAATTCCATTACTTGTTAACGTTTTCCAACAACCAACGCAAAGGAATCAAGGAATAGTGTCCTTTTTCCAACAACAGGATACTTAAACAATTCAAAATGCTTTCCTTTGTCAATTCGCCCGCTCTGGAACATTTACGCGGTGGCCGTAATGTCAGCTTGGCCGAAACTGTTCCAGCCGACATCCTGCACATGGTGGATCCTTATTGGTATCAATGGCCACCACTGGAACCAATGTGGTTTGGCATTATCGGATTTGTAATTACCATTCTGGGCATTATGTCGTTGACGGGTAACTTTGTCGTCATTTACATCTTCACCTCGGCCAAATCGCTGCGTACTCCGTCGAATATGTTTGTCGTGAATTTGGCATTTTCCGATTTTATGATGATGTTCACAATGTTCCCACCCGTCGTACTCAATGGTTTCTATGGCACCTGGATAATGGGACCATTTTGGTGTGAACTATATGGCTTGTGTGGTTCGCTATTCGGCTGTGTTTCGATTTGGTCAATGACACTGATAGCCTACGATCGTTATTGTGTCATTGTCAAGGGTATTTCGAGGAAACCGCTGACCATAACGGCTGCAGTTTTCCGTTTAGCGTTCGTCTGGAGTGTGTGCATGATATGGGCCATATTGCCAATGGTCGGCTGGAATCGTTATGTACCCGAGGGAAATATGACTGCATGTGGTACAGATTATTTTGCCAAAGATTGGTATAATCGTTCGTACATTATTGTCTATTCCGTTTGGGTATATGTAACACCCTTGACAACGATTATCTTTTCCTATTGGCATATTTTGAAGGTGAGTTGGGAGTTCAGAGTAGGGAAATGTGGATTTAGGTTATGGATAAGTTATTCGTTTAAGGCACACAGAATAAAACCAAATTAACACTATCAAATATTTTTAAAAGTTAGTTTGTGGTGCCTTTCGAAGACCTAATAATGAAAATGCGAATATTAACAAAACTGTGCAGCACTAAAATCTTGAACCAATCGGGACCCTCCAAAATCTGAATGCTTATGATGGTAGAAGAAAACCTCTAGCTGGGTTTTGAATTATAAGCTAAAGTTTTTGTTAATAACTCATATCCGCACCAAAAAATATTAATTATGACCCAAGTTTTAGGGTAGCCCCCATGTAACGATACACCCCAATATTCGGTATTTTGGGGATTTGAGACAAGTTTTTCAACCTAATTTGCTGTAATTTGGTATTTTGGGTTATTATTGATAAAACATATCCGAACCAAAAATTATTAATAATGACCCAAGTTTCAGGGTAGCCCCCATATAACGGTACCCCCCCAATATTGTGTATTTTAGGGACACGTTTTCCAACCGAATTGGCTGTAATTTGGTATTTTGGATTATCATTGAATAACACATATCCGTACCAAAAATTATTGTAGGGTAGCTCCAATAGAACGGCAACCTCTTAGACAACTTTTCTAACCGAATTTGCTGTAATTTTGTATTTTGGATTAATTAATTTTAGATATTTTGATTGTCATCCTCATGGTGTAGGGTATAAAATGTTCGGCCGGACTGACGATGTTAAGTTCAGCCTTTTTTTATTTTAAAGTCGCATTTTTGTAAATGGTTATATGCAAGAAAGTGATGGGAATTTACCGCACGTTTTCTGTTCTCTTTGTGTCATATCACATTTCAAAAAACCGATGTTGGAGAACAAATTAATTTTAATTAAGTACCTCGTAACGGATAACTTTCAATTTACTTTCGGCATTTGGACAAGATGTCACATTAACTTTCTCAACATGTGTATGTATTTGTATTCTTCTTCGATTTCAGGCTGTGCGAATACACGAAAAGGCAATGCGTGAACAAGCCAAAAAAATGAATGTTGCCTCCTTGCGACAAAGCGATGCCGACGCCAAGTCGGTGGAAATCAAATTGGCCAAAGTGGCATTGGTCACCATATCGCTGTGGTTCTTGGCCTGGACACCGTACACAATAATTAACTATGCCGGTATATTTGAGTCCATGAATTTGTCACCGCTGAGCACCATTTGTGGGTCGGTGTTTGCCAAGGCCAATGCGGTGTGTAATCCGATTGTCTACGGCTTAAGGTAAGACGACAAGTGCCGCAGCATAGCTTCGTAAATTATTTACTTCTTCTTACATGTATTTTTAATTATTCGTTTTTTTCTTTTTGTTCATTTTCAGTCATCCAAAATACAAACAAGTTTTGAAAGAGAAAATGCCCTGCCTGGCCTGTGGCAAAGATGATACCACGGCTGCTGAAATCCGTACCCAAGCCACAACGGAAGTTAGTGAATCGGCGGCGTAAAAGGATACTGGTATGCAATTCACCTTGCATGTTACTACGGACAAATGATTTCATTTCAAAACTGGGTTTATATTTAATCTTAGCTATATACATGTTAATTTATTGTAATATTTGTAATTCCTGTAGTCTCAATTTCTTCATGAGGGAAACAAAAAAATTAATACTTGGACGTTGACGAACAGCTTTTGTACACGGTTTTATTCCTATGTTTGAAAAAAAACATACATACTCCTACGGATAAACAAAATTTTGCCATAAAAAATTCAAAATATTTTGGAACAAAAAATAATAAGAAACCAATATTGTGTTAAAACAAACAAAAACTTTGCAATTGAAAAAAAAAATTAATAAAAAAAACTAAAAAATGAGCAATTGATATAAAATCATAAATTAAATGTGTATTTTTATACCCTTCACCACACTGTGTTGCAGGGTATTATGTCTTAGTGCATATCTTTGTAACAGGCAAATGGAAACGAGATAGACCAATGGTTCATTTTGAGAATATGCATAGAATCAATTTCTGAGTCGATTTATGCATGTCCGTCTCTGTCCATATTAAATTGTAAACAATGTACAGATCGCAGTTATGCTACGAATTGAATGAAATTTGGCGCCACTCATTTACTTGGCCTTAGCTCTCATATATATATTTTCGTCAGATTTTATCTAAATTGGTGCACCAAATTCCCAAAATTTGTCCGATTGACACAAATTTTTGTACAGCGCACTGAATTAAGTCCAGTTTGATGTCTGTGAAGTTTTGTTGAAATCAGTTCTGATTTAGTTTCGTCCGATTTTATGTAAATGGTGCACCAAAGTCTCTATATATCTTTCGATTTGCACAACATTTTGCACAGCGTAATGAATTAGGTCTAGAATAATGTGTGTTAAGTTTCATGGAAATCGGTTCAGATTTAGATATAGCTCCCATATATAGTTTCCTCCGATTGATACAAAATTTTGCTCAGAGTACTGTAATATGTCTAGATTGATGCATGTCAAGTTTTTTATTGGATTTTTTTGTGGAGATAAATTCTGGAATAATTTTTTTCACAACTTTGACCATTTTGTGGGGGGGGTACCTAAAGGAGTGGACCGATATTCCCCATCTTCGAACTTGAACATAGCTTGGAAGAAATGGTAAGATGTCCAAAATTTGGATGAAATCAGTTACTCCCTTCGAGAGTTATCGTGAGCACCAGCCGGACGTTTTTAAATCGACTCCAAATTGTCTGAAACGGATTTGGTCCAAAGAAGCATGGGGTCTAAAATCAATATTTCGATGAGACACATTTTAACCGTATTAAAGTGTATATACCCTCATTAGGCATAAGGTTGAGGGTATAACAAGTTAAAACAAGGCAGAGCAACGTCATTGACATTTTCTCGGAATTTAAATGTCCTTGAGCTATTAATTTCATTTTTACACAAAACTATTACACCTATAACTAAACATTTTTTTTAATACTGATACTTCTAAAAAAACCAGTAAGGAAAGTAGTAAAGTCGGATGGGGTATACCCTTCACCACTATAGGTATATTAGACAGAACTATTATCATGAAATTGTATGAAATAAAATATGTGATATTTATCTAAATGTGAAACGACCTAGATCTATCCATAAACATGTAATTCGTTTGTTACAATGGGACAAAAGTATGTAAATCGACTTCAAACAAATATCAATAGGACATCCGTTGGGATGCTCAATTTTGTACATTGTGCAAAATTTGATGTCAATCTGGTGTCAAACATGAGGAGTTTGATGCACAATTTACATAAAATCGGGAAACTATATCCAAATATGAACCGATTTCAACGAAATTTGTCACAGGTTATGTTATACTAATTACAGTACGTTTTGTTCCTATCAGCCATATAATATAAGGTATAATATAAGGTAGCTATATCTAAATCTCAACCGATTTTCACGAAACATGGCACACATCATTCAGGATTAAATTCAGTACGCAATGCAACATAAGAACCTTGGTACATTATTTACATAAAATCGGACGAATATATATATATATATATATAGATCTGAACCGATATATAAATGGACTTTGGAGCACCATTCACATTAAATTGGACGAAAATATATATAGGAGCTATATCTAAATCTGAACCGATTTTTCCCAATTTCAATAGGGTTCGTCCTTGGACCAAACAAATGAGCTGTGCCTAATTTCATCAAAATGGGATTATAAATGCGACGTGTACTTTGTTTACAATTTAACACCAACAGACGGACTGACGGACATGCATAGTCTCAAAATGAACCATTGGTCTCTCTTCTTTCCTTTTGTCTGTTACAAAGACGCACAGTGTGGTGAAGGTATTAAAATGTAAAGTTCGGCCCGGCCGAACTTTTTATTCCCTTTTATATTTAAAATATGTAAAATTAATGGTGAAACACATTTTATTATTGGAGCTTGAATATACGGAAAAAGACGTGAAAAAATATGATTACCTAATGAGAACCTAATATACAAAATTACAGCCAATTTGTTTGATAAAAGTGTCCAAAATCCCAAAAATACCGAGTAGTGCGGGTACCTATTTATGGGAGTTGCCATGAAACTTAAGTCAATATTAATAATTTTTGGTGCTTGCATTTGCTATACAATGAGAACCCAAACAAACTTAAATTACTGTCATCTCGGTTAAAACACGTGTCCCAAATCCCCAAAATACCGAATATTGGGAGGAACTTGGGCCAATATTAATAATTTTTAGTACGCAGGTGTGCTATGCAATAAGAACCCAAAATACAAAATTACAGCCAATTCGGATGAAAAACGTGTCTAAAATACACAAAATAACGAATACTGGGGATACGTTATATAAGGGCTTCACCAATACCAAACATCCTAGGAGGCAAAGTCTGTGCAAAATGTCACAGCTCTATCTTAAATATGGTGATCTCTATCGTGATTTCAACAGACGGACTCGTATAAATCGACATATAATTTTATTGCGATCAAGAATATATATATATATATACACTCTACCTTATTCAATTGAATACAGAAACATGGAATAATGCGAACCTTTAAAAAAAAAATTTTAAATCGTGGAAAATCCAATTTGACAGTTGCTATTAAGCGTATAAAATGTCATTATTTCGGAAATTCCGTTGACTACATTAAAATAGATTACGTGGAGATAATCAAGCTATTAATTCGATGATTGACTGTCTTGAACTCATTCACTCGTTTGCATCTCGCTATCAATAAGACGAATAAGAAACAAAAACACATCCATAAAGTTGAATTTATTATTCCACATTGTTTTGAAACAGTTGACTAAAAACTGTAGGAAGGAATCAAATGTGATGATTTCCTCTCAATATCTATCGCATGTTCAGATGTTCTAAATAATACACGCCCATACACAAAATTACATAGATGGAGCTGTTCAGTAAAAATTGTTATCAGTCGGTAGCCATGCCCAACTCTGCAAAGGGGGAGTTTAATTTGGCTTTGTATAATTTAAATCTTTATGGCCTAATGTTGTCCACAGCAACAAAATGTTTTATAGCTTATATTTAATACAAGACAAGTAAATTAAATTGCGTATACAGTGCAAATTATTTAAATCGCTTCGTATTCGAAATGTACGAATTGTACCCTCTAAATCAGGCTGTCCACATTCAAGGTTTGAGACTGTATTTGTTTGAAAAAAAAAATTTCAAAAGTTCATTCAAAAAATTTTAAGGAAGGAACAAATTTTATATTCTTCTGATGGGAGAGCTAGAGGTCTTCATATAGAAGAGGTCTTCTGATGGAAGAGCTGGAAGTCTTTTTATAGAAGAGTTCGAACGGGATAAAGAAGCTGGAAGTCTTATCAAAGGGATAATTTAATATTTTTAGTTTGGTATAACCATAGTTGAGTTTGAATTTACATGTCTTTGATCAAACATTGGACGGGTGTGAGGTTCACCTTTTGCCTTTCCGAAATGGATGCAAACGATTCAAGCGGTGTGATTGCTTTGCAACAAGAAGCAGTGGTCGGCTTCAAAAACAGTTGATCGAAGGTGATTACCTCACCTTAAGCCTTCAAGATATGTTCTCAAGCAGTAATTTTGGGCACGTTCTGGCTGTTGGGCTGCATTTAAGAAACGGTAAGTTAAAATGTGGTTTAGGCGCGTAAAGCTATATTTAAGCCGACGTGCTAAATACCGACGTGCTAAATACGATTTTGCTTTTGGTTTTCTTGATACAGGACTTTTTTTCGGAAAGAAAGTAGAGGATACTGGGACAACTTCGGCGCTTTTTGTTTAGAGCTCTATATCTGATTATTGTCCTCTGACACTTAATTATAAAAACTAATACCAAAAAATAATATTAGTTAAAAAATTTTACATTTTTGTAAAAAAGTCAAATTCGCCGAATGTGCCCCAACCCGGGGTAGCTTCGGCATTTGATGGGGCTCATTCGGCACCATAGTCATAGCCGGGTAATTCTCATCGCTATCAGTCTGGTTGAAATTCTGATCCTCTAAAGGCTCTATTTGGTTTTAATACGCCACACAATGTTCGAATTATAGGGCTATATTTTCTAGCGGCGAACGTTGACATCTCAAGGTCGCACATACCATAAGAAATAGGGGTTTTCTATCGCATTTTCGTCAATACAAGCATGTTTGGTCTTATATATGCCATTTCGAACCATATTAATGGATTAGTTTGAAAGACAAACTCAAAAACATTTTAAAAAAATAATATTGCACAATCTGTATATGGCCGAATGTGCCCCACTTTAAAATGCCGAATGTACTTTTCATAGTTTTTTTCATTTTTTTCTATCAGTCTTGTAAAAACATTATATTTTTAAATATTTCTATAATACACATCGTAGTTAACCACTTTTTAATAATATTGTCTTAAAAATTTGAAAAGTTTTATACACGAAAATTTGAAAAGTTTTATACAATAAATATTACAAAAACATCTATAAAAATACAAAAACCCATGTATCTAAATAAGCTTATTAGCTAGAAATTTCAAACTTTGTGTCAGATATTTATTTCGATATTCGATACCTATGTATCTAGTATCGATACGGTGGGAGCTTCGATGTACGGTGAGAGCTTCATATCGAAAACGCGATTGCAGAAGGTGCCCCAGTCTACTGTATCTACTGTATCTCCCGAGTGGAAGGATGTAGCTACGTTTGTTCATATCCTATTTAGGATAGTTACATTAAATCTCATGGCATAATTATACAAGGTAGTCTCATGCAGACATATGATTCCAAATTTTTCATAAATTTACTTTTGACAACGTTCAGCTTTCAAAATTTAAATGAAAATACCTTCCTTTTAAATGTACGCACACGATGTGTTCAGTGACAAAAATTGCTAAATTATTTATATTTATTAATATTTTGATGTTCCCTGCTTCCGAAACGTATCAATATTTGTTGTAACACTTATAGCTACGCCTAGAGAACAATGTGCAGCTTCATAAAATACAAATTTTTTAATGTTCTGAAAATTTGCCAATCGACATACATAAAATTTTATGGAATTTATGCCTTTATCCATTTCTGAAATGAGAGTAGCTTGAAAATTTATGCACAGAAAATAGTAGGGGAGACTGGGGCACCTTCGGCACTTTTTTTTAGAGCTCTATATCTCAGTACTTATTGAACATATATAACAACTTTATGGCTGATTATTGTCCTCTGACTCTTAATTATCAAAAATAGTTCCAAAAAGATATATAAAAATAGTATTAGTTAAAAAATTTTTCAGTTTTGTAAAAAAAGTCAAATTCGCCGAATGTGCCCCAACCCGGGGTACCTTCGGCATTTTATGGGGCACATTCGGCACCATAGTCATAGCCGGGTAATTGTCATCGCTATCAGTCTGGTTGAAATTCTGATCCTCTAAAGGCTCTATTTGGTTTTAATACGCCACACAATGTTTGAATTATAGGGCTTTATTTTCTAGCGGCGGACGTTTACATCTCAAGGTCGCACACACCATCAGAAATAGAGGTTTTCTATCGCATTTTCGTCAATACAAGCACGTTTGATCTTATATATGCATTTTCGGGCCATATTAAAGGATTAGTTTTAAAGACAAACTCAAAAACATTTTAAGGAAATACTATTGCACAATCTGTATATGGCCGAATGTGCCCCACTTTAAAATGCCGAATGTACCCCGAATGTACTTTTTATAGATTTTTTCATTTTTTCGATCAGATTTGTAAAAACATTATATTTTTAAATATTTTTATAATAATACACATCGTAGTTAACAACTTTTTAATAATATTGTCTTAAAATTTTTAAAAGTTGTATACACGAAATACTTACGGAATGGAATTGAAATATTACAGAAACATCTATAAAAATACAAAAATCTATGTATCTAAATAAGCTTATTAGCTAGAACTTTCAAACTTTGTGTCAGTTATTTATTTCGATATTCGATACATATGTATCGAAACTAGTGATGTACGGTGAGAGCTTCATATTGAAAACGCGATTGCCGAAGGTGCCCCGATGCCGAAGGTGCCCCAGTCTCCCCTACTACTGTCACGGGGTTCAAAGAGTTAAAATAATATTCCTTTATAAATTCGCATTTAGTACAATAAATTTAATCCGGATATGCCGAGAACAAGACATGCAGTGAATCTGTTTTTTTTTTAAGATACTGCACGTTAAATTTATTAATCAGAGTGCTAAGGCTCTGCGGAAAATAATGTTCCACAAAGCGGTCCGGTTTGTCTGGATTTGTCTAAAATTTTTACAGAATATTCAGGAATTTGCTGTTGTAAAAACATGCTGCCATTTTTATAGGAATTCTCAAAGAGGCTGAATCGATTTCGGTGAAATTTTCACAGAACGTTCGGGAATTTACTGATTTTCAAGGAATAGAAAATGTTTGATGCGATTTCACTAAAATTTTCACAGAACATCCCTTAATTTATTTGTTTACGACATTTATTTACAACTTCAATACAATTTCAAAAAAGCGCGACGAAACAGTTCAAAGTTATCAAGAAGACACTATTCATATCTACATCGTGAAATCCACATCGATCCTTCCGTAAGTGGCGTACAATGCACATTTACATAAAATCGGACAAAAATATATATGGGAGCTATATCTAAATCCGAACCGATTTTCAAGAAACTTAACACACATCATTCTAGACATAATACAGTACGCTATGCCAAATTTCGTTAAATCGGACGAAAATATATTTGGGTGCTATATCTAAATCTGACTATTTCAATCAAACTTGGCACACGTTAGGCACACGTTGTGCAAAATTTTGTACCAATCGACCCAACCTTAACACTTTGGTGCACCATTTACTAAAAATCGGACGAAAATATATATAGGAGCTATATCTAAATCAGAACCGATTTCAACTTGGCACACGTTACGCTATTCCAACTTCAGTGCGTTGTACAAAATTTCGTGCCAATCGGCCTAAATTTGACTCTTTGGTATGGTACACCAAAGAGTCAAATTTAGGCCGATTGTTAAAAATCGGACGAAAATATATGTAAGCTATATCAAAATCTGAACCGATTTAACCAAAAAAAAAATATATTTTTAAAATATACTTACAATATTTAAATAAAAAACGAGTATTTCTTTATTTCCAAATTATGTGCATACATACAGACACAAGTCATCCCCAAACAATTCTCTCTATCCAATCAACATAAATCGAAGGTCGGGTATAAAAAGAACACCCAGAACCAAAAACAAACAATTATAATCGGGATGATCAACAAACAGTGGACCTCCTGAATCGCCCGCACATATATCGCGCTCATAGTAATACGATCCAGCCCACATTTGTATAGTTGTATTAATCGTGATGGCCGCTTTATCCACTTTCGAGAGGCACAGCTCATCATTGAAATTATCCAGTTTGACTTTTTGTAAATGGCTGGGTGATCTACCGTAATCCTTGAGAGTACCCCATCCTGTAGCTAGAAATTGTGGAAAATCACGTCCGTCGGCTAGTGGCAGACATGCGGGTACAAAGTAATGATTAAATTGAACGGTTCCATGTTCCATGTTTTTAAGTCGATTTATGCATGTTCGTCCGTCTGTCTGTCCATGTTAAATTGTAAACAAAGTACAGGTCGTATTTATGATCCGAATTGGATGAAATTTGGTATAGGTCACTTATTTGGCCCAAGGACGAATCCTATTGAAATTGGTGAAAATCGGTTCAGATTTACATATACCTCCCATATATTTTCGTCCGATTTAAGGTAAATGGTGTACCAAAGTCCCTATATATCTTTCGATTTGCACGAAATTTTGTACAGCGTACTGAATTAGGTCTAGAATGATGTGTGTTAAGTTTCTTGAAAATCGGTCCAGATTTAGATATAGCTCCCATATATATTTTCGTCCGATTTAAGGTAAATGGTGTACCAAAGTCCCTATATATCTTTCGATTTGCACGAAATTTTGTACAGCGTACTGAATTATTTTCCTGAAAATCGGTCCAGATTTATATATATCTCCCATATATATTTTCGTCCGATTTCAGGTAAATGGTGTACCTATATATATATATATATATATATTAATGTAAATGGTGTACCAAAGTCCCTAGAGTAATGTGTGTTATGTTTCTGGAAAATCGGTTCAGATTTAGATATAGCTCCCATATAATTTCGCCCGATTTAATTTTAATTGATAATTTTGCACGAAATTTGACATAGCGTACTGAATTGGGTCTAGAATAATGTGTGTAAAGTATCCTGAAAATTGTCCGATTTTAAGACCCAAAGTTAGGCCTATTGCCACACAATTTTGCACAATGTACTAAAGTTCGGTTTTAGATATAGCTCCCATATATATATATATATATATATATATATATTCCTCCGATTTTAAATAAATGGTTAAATATAGACTTAAAGTGAGGCCGATTGACGCAAAATTTTGTTGGAAACTGTCCAGATTTATGTATTCAACGGGTGCCCTATTGATATTTGCTTTAAATCGATTTACATAATTTTGTCCCATTGTGACAAACGAATGGCATGTTTATGGATTGATCTAAGTCGATTCGCAGTTAGATAAAGGTTACATATTTTAATTGGATGAACAATTTCATGTTAGTGGCCTTTCTGTTAGGATGCATCTTTTTAATGGTGAAGGGTATCATATAGTCGGCCCGTCCGACTTTGCTGCTTTCCTTACTGGTTTTTTCTTTATAAAATTTCGTAACCATCTCGTTATCCAAGATACATGCCGCTATCACAACATATCTATCGCTGACCAATGATCCACCACACATAACGATACGTTCATGTCCATTTATGTAAAATAACAGCGCCATAAAGGGAAACTCTTTGGGATCGGCATTGTCGCCGCCCACAATGAGGGATTTATCACAAACCTTTCGTGTATTTCGATATGATTTACATTCTGTAAAATAAAAACAACACCAATAAAAATTAAATCAAATAATAAAACACATACTAAATACCTCTAACTATGCGTTTATTGTTATCTTTTGCGGAGACATAGGGTCGAGGCGGGACAGGACAGCAGACAAGTTAAGCGTTTGCTCATTCGAAATTTCCTTATTATTTCCGGACATTGCCGTAGCAACGTGCATTTGGTATTTGCGGCATTCATCACCAGATGCTGTAAAATAAATGTTATTAAAAAGTGTTTGAAAGTGATTATTAATAATTTTGTGCATATTGTATTAACTGGTGCGGTAAATCATTTTTAATCAGTCCTAAATTATTTGTATTTTTTCAGTCTGATTATAATAGCCATCTTTTTTATTTTTTTTCATTACCTGTGTGTTCCTCTTGTTACATTACTTTTTTAGTTGTTGTAACATAAAATTTTTTCTCTTCTTTCTTTTTCTTTAATTGTCATTACAGAGTTGTCAACACTTTGCTTTTATAAAAAATTTAAGGAATAGAAATCCCAGATATTTTAATTTCTAACATCAATAATTAAAAGTAATAAAAGGTGAATTCTCCTCATTATCGACCCGATTTGAAAACTTTTCTTCAATGTTCGAGAAGTACCAAGATCATGAAGAGTTCGTGTCATCACCGTCAGTTTTTGGACAGAAACGCAAAAGATCTACGAAAAAGGTGCCAGGTAAAACTTTGCCTAGTCGTAAAGCCTTGGTTTCTGCTGGGAGTACTGTATCACGAACAGTTTCTGAAAGTGTCATAGATACAACTGAAGCTGTTCGTGGCCAGTGTTCGTATGCTAGTGTTGTGACGGAGGCAGCTACTGAAGTCAGAAAGGATATATCGGAAGGAACAATAACCCGTAAAACCACCGAATACTACGGCTGATGATATAAATTATTATATTAAATCAAAAATCAATATAAACTTTCTAATAAAATACGTATTTTTTACAATTATTTTTATGATTTCTCGACCTTCGAATTTAATAAATTTCGAATGTTCATAAATTACAGATGGTTGAGCTTGGCGTGTTTTATATATTAGGTTGGGAAAAAAGAAATCCATTATTTTCATATGAACTGTAGGAATTTATTTAACATGCTTCAGAATGTCCGATCTGGGCCAAATATGCACCGTTTTGTTGTATGATTTGTTGCCATTTTAAAGGCAACTTTCTAATGACTCTCTCATAGAAGTCCTGCTCTCTATTTGCCAAAAAATATTCTAGTAGTCGATTTTCACAATCCTCCTAGATACCAATTTTTTATCATTAAATCCCAATCAAGCTCCCGAAGTTTCTGGCGAGTCACTGTAGATTTGTGTGGCCTAGCGTTGTCCTGGTGGAATACCACAACTCTCCTGTTGGCCAATTCTGGCCGTTTTTGGTCAATTGTAAATGTTTTAAACCAGTTTTAAACTGATAACATGCCGGTCAAATTCAATCATTTCTCCGATTTTATCGATATTTTCCACGACCCGACAACCTGTGCGAGGTGCATCTTTCACATCAAAGATCCTCTATATCTTTCGATAACGTACTGAATCAAGCCTAGAAGAATGTGTTCAAAGTTTCGTAAAAAATCGGTTCAGATTTATTGTATAGCTCCATATATATTTTCTTCCAAATTTATGTAAATTGTGCACTAAAGACCTAAAGTTTATCCGATTGGCACACAATCTTGTAGAATTTACTGAATTTAATATAAATTATCTCCGGCAAGTTTCGATGAAGTCGGTTCATATTTAGATATAGCTCCGACATATATATTTTCGTCTGATTTTTGGTAAATGATGTTGCAAACTCCTAATCTTTGTTCGATTGACACGAAATTTTGCACCGTTGGAATTGTGTGGCATTTTTATTATAAAAATACCTTTTGACTCACTGTTCATAACCTGAGATTTCGATTTATTTTAAATCGTGATCTAAATCACAGAACTAATCAAATTCAACATTGGACTATATTTTTTTAAATAGTACCAAAATGTATCAAAAGTATTTTTGAAGTGTCATACTATGGACTTCGCGAAAGCTGATTAAATGACGGCCATTTTTTTACAAATAGACTTAATAATATACAAATGTGAGATCAGATTTTGAAAATCAAATAAAATGAATCCTAAACTACGGACCAAAGATAAGAAAAAATTAATATATCATTTCATAGCATGAAATTGTTGGTTTATGTATTGCTGGCATAACACTATGGTATATCCCAATAAAATATCAAAAATTTAGTTGAAAACTCTAGACAAAATATCCAATAAATTGAGGTAGGTTTATATGGGGCTTGTCCCAAAACTTATGACAATATTGATAATTTTTTGTATGAAGATTTCCAATTTGATAGATTTAATTAAGAGTATGAATTCAATATTTCGGAAATTCCGTGGGTTTTTACGTCGAGATAATATATTGAGTGTCCGACTCAAACACGCGTTTGCATCTCGTTATCAGTAAGAAGAAAACATCTATAAATATACATCAACATCTTAACTTTAAATTAATGCAATATTTATGTGAATTCAATATAAAAAGTAATGATTGTTCAGCAAAATCAATTGCAACCTCACAGTGAAAAGTAGCCAAGATACAAGTTTTTTTAACAAACGGATTTTCGGGATGGTTAATACTTAGTATGATATCCATCCCTTGTTATCTTTTACACCTCTCAACATTGTCGACATAGATTTTGACAAGTTTCCCGTGTATTGGCTATCGTTTGGGGCAAGGTATCGTCATCAATGTTATACTGTAAAAAATACGAACAAAATATTTGCAAAAAATAAAATGAAAACATGATTTACAATTATTTTTCTTCAACAGTACAATTTTGCCAGGAAAGAAGCACGAAGGTCTATTTGTGGAATAGCTCCCTTTATGTCCTCCTTTTCCTTTATGTCCTCCTTTTTGTAAATTCACTTAATATTTGTATCACTTCACTTTTCCACTCGGTATACGCCTTTACACTCTAATAAATGCTACACGAATGGAATTTTGGTCATATACACTAAAATAGCTGTACTTCTTCTTTTCTGTGTAATTCAACATGATTTCATTTAATTTCAACATTGTTTCATGTTGTTTTAACAATCCACAAGTTTATTCAATCATGTTCCAATTAGCATTTACATTTCTCAATATCAATTTAACATGATTGAAATGTTGTTTCAACATGAGTCAATGTTAATTAGTTTTTAAAATATTATCATTTCATTTCAACATTAATTACTATTGATTTTACTATTTTCTCAATGTTAATTTCACAATAGTAAACGTTACCTTAACTAGTCACAATGTTAATTTAATAGTTCTAATGTACAAGGAGTTTTATTTTTAAAATAGAAGGATGCCATTTCAACATTAATAACTATTAATTTTACTATTGTCACAATGTTAATTTAACATGAAATTTTTTTATTATAAAAATCCAAAAAAAAACAGTGAGCGGAGCATTATAGTCGGACGGGGCCGACCATGCGATACCCTACACAACTACCACAGAACTCTATCATTCTGGGGGTTTTTATTCCGAGCCTGGGTAATATTTCGTGATAGTTGCATCCTCTTGCCCGATTACAGGTCAACAGCATTTCCTTACACTGACATATTTTCTGAAAATTACAAATATCTAATTAGAATATCTAATATTCTAATTACTTGTCCATAATCCATTCACCCTGGGTTGTAGTGTGATGTTCGGCTTGTAATGGTAGCCTATAGATCGAATCGAAAATCTCCTTCTCCACGTAAAAATTCGAGATGTTTGGACCATAAGTGCGGCCTCTAGAGCGACCAGAAAAACCGACAAAAATTAAGTATTTGGTCCATTTCATCCCCTAAACATTAAGCGATCTTTACCAAAAACAATAGGGGACTTCATTAGGCAGAAACCATCCTACATGCAAAATTTGGTCCATAACTGTGACCTGTATCGTGTCAACAACATCAACATTCGCAACATACCTAAGTCCCAGAATACGGAATGAGTTTTTAGAAATAATTGGAGAATACATTCATAAGTCTATTGTTGAAGAAGTGAACTGTGCAGAATTCTTTTCGGTTTTAGCGGACGAAACTACGGATAAAGGAGCAGCTATCAATGTGGCATCTAAAAAAGTCAAAAAATGTTTCCTGTTTCTGACAAACCATCTCTTATGGGACGACCTGGCCATTAGGATATCCAACAAAATATCAACTTGTATTACAATGCGTAATAATATGAAACTCCGCCATATAGCGACTGAACAATGAATTTGGTGTACATAAGTTAGTTCTTTTTTCATAAAAAATAAATGTATATGGGAGATTACAAAAATGCTCTAAATTTCTTGTCAACATCTTAAAATATTGGTAGTAAATAATAAGGTGTGTGGAAGCTGTGATGGTGGATGTAAAAAATGTGTTGAAGCCAACAAGTTTTTTCGTGTTCTTTCCTGATTTGTGGTTAAAATGGAAAATATGGTTTTAATGTATGATTTTTCAATATAATCACTGCATCCACCCAAAACGGGCATTTTGAAGCCGGATTTTCAGTTTTTGTTTTTTTTTCATTAGGTCATAAATACAAAAACACATTTGTTTTTTAATTATAGCAATATTTATTATATACATACAACATTAGACTTTTCAATACAAAAAGTCGATTTACGTATCCCTATTCCTGATTTTTTATTAAGTAAACGTGTCATGAGCCATGGCTCCAAAGGATCACATAAAATTATACATATATTTTACCATTAAAATATGATCTCCTTTCGCCTTTATGGAACGCATTTTCTTGCCGCATTTCTAATAAAATCCTAACTGGGCGTGAACCAGTGTCTCACTATTGAGCGAATGGTAGCAATGGTAGTTCAAGTAATGACATATTGTCGACTACTATTTTCCATACTAAAAAATTAAAATTTCTGTCTGCAGAATAGGAATTTCCTTGTAAATATTTATTTTATTAAAGTATACATTATTTTTTTTTTTCACTTAATAAACATGCTGCCCATAAATAACAAAACATAAACATTTAAACATAAATTATTTTTTTATTTTATTTCTTTCCTTTTTGATGTATAACAAAGTTTTAAATTTATACTTTGAAGTCTTATTTAATATTTCGCATATGTTTTTCAAGGCATTAGGCATTAATTCGGAATCTTATACCATAGACAGACGACAGCCTTAATTTGCATTAAAAAGTTCTTAATTTGAATTAATATTTACCACTGACAGACGAGAGTTTCTGCATTTATGAACCAGTTTTTTGTTTCAAAACTATTGTTTGTCTGTGTGCAGGATGAAAATTTTCACAATTGTTTCCAATATTATTGGGGAGTACATCTTTATGAAATAGATACATGACGGAACGGAAGAATAACAGCTAAAATGGTAGTGAAACAGCTCCCGATTTAAAAATATGTTGAAATTTGCTTTTATTTCTAATATTTTTTCATAAACGTAAACAAATTTGACAACAAATAATTTATTTTCTACAGCATTGCCATATTGAAATTGTTTAATTCAGTATAAATTCAGTTTGATTTTGTGCATTTACGACACATAAAAATGAGGATAATGTACAAGTTATTTTGAATTAAGACTGTTAATGCAAATTAAGGCTGTCGTCTGTCTAGGCTATTAATGTACCTTTAGTATAGCACATTATACAAACACACATCATCCCCAAACAATTTTCTCTATCCAATCAACATAAACCGAAAGTCGGGTATAAAACGAAGGAAGGCCCTTATTAGCACAACCACCTTCACCATACGATGTAACACCCAGGACCAAAAACAGACAATTATAGTCGGGATGATCAACAAACAGTGGACCACCTGAATCCCCTGCACATGTATCGCGCTCATAGTAAAATGATCCAGCGCACATTTGTATAGTTGTATTAATCGTAATGGCCGCCTTATCGACTTTCGAGAGACACAGCTCATCATTGAAATTATCCAATTTGACTTTTTGTAAATGGCTAGCCGATCTACCGTAATCCTTTAGAGCACCCCATCCTGTTGCCAAAAATTGTTTGAAATCACGTCCATCGGCTAATGGCAGACACGCAGGCAGAATATAATCATTAAACTGTACAGATGCATTTAGTTTCACTACAGCGATGTCATGGAATCTGATATCGTCATCATACTCATCGTGGATTTTATAGGTAGCAATGGAAAAGTCGACAGGAGCAGCATCATCGTCCGATTTGTTGTAATCAAGTTCTCCCAAACGTACAATGTTCGGTTCGCTGTAAGAGAAAACAATGGGAAAGTTTAAAATATATTTTAGATAGTAAAATTAAAGAAAAACTCTAAGGAAAATTGGGAAGTCGAACGTGGTCGAATATAAGATAACCTACACCACTTTAACCAACCTGGATAATCATTTACATGGTCTCGGTCGAAAAAATTTTAAACCTGCTGATTATTTATGTATTACAGTTTGTAATTAAAAAAGGATATTTACGTTTTATAATGTCGCTAGACTCTTAAAATCGAATACTAAAAAAATGAAAATATGTCCAATAACCATATATATACTATACAGATGTTCTATCTGCTAATCTAAATCCTTAAGAAGTCATATAATCTCATTTTAGATTTACTCACTTTGGTACATAAAAACAATGTGCCGCTGTTACGACATATTTGTCACTAACCAATGATCCGCCGCACAAAACTGTACGTTGATCTCCATTTACGTAAAATAACAGCGCCATGAAGGGAAACTCTTTGGGATCGGCATTTTTGCCGCCCACAATCAGGGATTTATCACAAACCTTTCGTGTGTTCTGATATGACTTACATTCTATAAAATAAACAGCAATAAAATTAATATCAAGCAATACAGATTAACATCAAATAATAGATGTAGTACCTCTTACTATGCGTTTATCGTTATCTTTTGGCGGCACATAGGGTTGAGGTGGAACCGGACAACAGACATACACAGCATTTGCACCAATCTTGCAATAGGGTACATTTCTTATGAAACGAAATTTCCTTATTATTTCCGGACATTGTCGTAGTAATCGGCATTCTGTATTTATACTGCATTCATCGCCGGATGCTGTAAAATACGTCAATGATGAGGCATTGTGATCAATATTTATTTGGTATTCTCTAATATGATTTATAGATTGAAATGCATTGCTTTGAACGCTTCAACTGCATATACACAGGATTATTTATATTTATTGTACATTAAGTTATCATCAACATATAACAAACCGTCAGTATTAATGTTCGTAAGAGCTTCCGGAGGGAAATGTTTAACATATTGCAATATGTCAAAATCATACATAATTGCATTGCAGGAATACTTTTACCAGCTCATTGTCTAAGTCACGCGCTCATTTAATAAAGTTAAGCGCGTCCCTCATGAGGAATCTGTCGATCCTATCACAACCAGCCGCATCATGCAGGAGGATGGTTTCCGGCTCTGACGACCCAGGCAGTACGTCAAAATTGACTTCTCCCATGACATAAGTCGTTCCATCTGATTCAACGAGTTAACAAAAAGATTGGGAAGACGTAGGACAGTATGGGACTTATAACCTGCTTGTAAATAAAAAGCTTGATCTTCTGAGATAATCCGTCATTATTCGGAACTTTCTGTCCCTTAGGAAGCTGGCTATTAGACGACATGTTTGTCTGTCAATCCCGTAGTTCTTCATTTCGAACTGAATGCCGTCGTGCCATACTGAGTCAAACGCCCTCGCGAAATCCAGACTAACGACACTGGTACCGCGTCTTCGTTCAAATCCGTCCACTATGAAGGAAGAAATACTTCCAGAGCATGGGAGGTAGAGTGTTCATTTCTAAAGCCAAACTGGCAGTTCTTAAAGACTCGTTTGTCCCCCAGGACCATTTTTAGACGCTTAAAGACGAATGACTCAAATAGTTTCCTGAATGTTGAGAGCATGGAGTGGTTAAAAAGTATTCTGAGGTAACCAAACACAATGATGCCCGCTTTCTTATGAACAATCTCTGGGATTCGATCAAGGCCTCTAGATTTTTTTCTAGTCTAGATGCTACCCGTAGTACCCGCTGTACCAAAATCATATGTTTGGATGAAACCAGCTTCAGACCAAGATGACATATCATTGATCACAGACCCATCAGCTGTGAAAGAGTTGTGGAAGATTACTAAAGGAGATCTATCATTCAGATCGTCGACCTCTTGATAAACTGTATTTAGAAAAACAGGATCCGATGACCCATCCACTGAGATCAACATACCTTCCATATAATTATCCAAAGCTTCGGCTGTTTTACTATCATCATATATCGGCTATGCCAGCTCCCACTATCAACTTTAAGCGTTCTTGCTCAAAAAGCGTTCTTGCTCAAAAATTCTGATCGAGTCCTCAATAATTCTACCTATATTACTTAAATCAGCCCTCAATATGAGGAATCGGGAAGGATCATTCGATCTCCTGACAGTCCTACAAATCCTCCTGGATTCACGGATAAAGAGTAAAATTCGTCCCTTACCTAGGGAAACACAATTGGATTTATGCTTAGGAACAGAATCATTAACTGCATTCCTAAAATCTGTTTCCAGGCTAGGAACCGACGAATCTATCTCCTCGATTGATACGTTCCTAAATGCTGGTAAGCCTATGTCTGACAGCCCCTGATTAATTAATCGCCTAAATCGATTAATATTCATTCTGTCATAATTAAGAAAGGAAGTAGGCTCTCTAATTGAGAAGCCATCCAGATCGTGATCAATTACAATGGCTCTGTGATCGGACTCATAATCAAAAGCGCAAGCCTTGGTATTATTTTCAGCCTGATTAATCTTCTGCTGTTGGCTTTGTGATTTCTTCCGATAATTTCAAGTAAACAAATTGGGTGTATCCCCCCAGAATTGACCTACGTCCTACGTTGCTTGAGAGTTGATACATTTTTGCGAATAGCGAATGACCGCAAATAGTTTTTAACTATCAAAACCAAACGAACAATCAATGATCTTTTTTTTCTAAGGCAGATTCTACGCAAAAGTCTAAATTTAGAAGCATTCAATGTTGAGTTCTTGCGAAATCATATTCGCTGACGGAGAATGTTGTAATATGTGTATACATTTTATTATTGTATCAAAATAATCATGCTAGAATGATTAAGCAATTGAATACGAACTAGAATAAGAAACCAAAATGTATATTAAGAAGAAATAATTTATTGTTTCGATGAGACAGTTTTATTGAATTCATCTCATAATTGAAAATACTAGCTTTTCACTGGGTTTTCCGGATTGTCACGCTGTTGCATTTCGTTATCTTTAAGAAATTTGTGTGCCATTGTTTGATGATAACACAAGCATCCCGTCATCCGCACAATAATACAATATATTCAGACGAATAAAAAATACAAACAAGTATAGTATATTTAATATACGCAGCACGTTCTGTTTATTCGGCATTTGTTTATAAAATTTGACTCTACAATGTTATGACTTCTTCGAATTTGAATCATCCCATAACTGACTCAAACACTTGCCGGGAGGTACGTAATAATTGTACCACAACATTTACACCTGTTTATGTTTATTTACGTTTTATTTTTGTCATTTTTATTTGCGATTTTAAATCTGATCTCAACTTACACTGAACAAACATTGATTTTTGCAAGAAAGTTGCACATAAAAGCAAGGTTAACAATATTCTTATCATGCTTATGTATTTTGTTTATTTATTTTTATATTCAATAAACTTTTCTAAAGATTCCCGAAACGATCATCACGAAATCACAGCTCTTACTGTCTGTCGAACGATTCGTAAGTGAGTAAATAAGTTAACCTACGGATCAAATGGAGCGTATCAATCGATAGTAGCTTACTTGAGAAGACAAAGCGATGAGAGCGTTTATGGCTGCCTAGAATACATCTCTCAAGACAAGTTAGACTGGATTATTGTTGTGATTACTTTTATTTTTTTCTCTCTGCCAGACAATGTGGCACCTTCAAAATAAACATGTTCTTAAAGTAGTATACACCATTTCCAGCGGTCAATGACAGCTTAACCACTAACGCCTTCAATATAAAAAACTAAAGTTAAGGAAAGTAGTAAAGACGGACGGGGCCGACTATATGATACCCTTTACCACTTTGGCTATATTCAAGAGATGCATCCTAATAGACCTCCCATTGCCATGAAAGTGGACTACTTTAAATATATGATCTATGCCTATATGTGAACCGACTTAGCCGAATGATTAATAACCGGGTACATTTGTAAATTTATATTAAGATTGTTTTTTCGTTTAAAATTCATCGAAATAATCTCTTCCAACCCTATAAAACACATGTTTTTGATCATATTTGCATTTAGTTCTCCCTCCACATCATTATCAAAATTAAGCCAAATTTGATTAGTCTTTTTTTGAAGCCATTGTACGCTAATTCTATACAAATATCACACAAAATAAAACGAACAGGAAGTCAATGATATAAGATTTATGATTTTAAAAAGCTGATTTGTACCTACAAATCATCATGAACAACGGGATCAAAAAGAACTGGGAAAACGATAGCAAAAAAACACGACGGAACAAAGGGAACTAAGTGAACGAGAGCAAGAAGGAATGACAAGAGCAAAAGGGAGTACGAAAGGTGTACGAAAAATCCGGATCTTTTTCCGATCGTTCCTGGTTCGGAAAAGTTCCTTTGAAATTGTTCGTTTCGGATCGACACAACTCTAGTAGATAAGAACGCCTATCCTGTAGAAGTAATTTTGAGCAGAACGGGGATTCAAGACACATGTCCAAAATCATTAGAATGTTATTAAACTCGGTTTATTTGAACACAAATAATTGTTTGAATCACAACTTTTCTTCATCAAGTTATTGTAGAGAATCGTCTTCGAATCTATCCGTATTTTCTATATTTTCTCAGTTGCAGATCACAACACAATAATTCCCTAAAATCTGATGGCAGTATTAAACGCTTTCGTTGTTCCATACGTGTATTTAAGCAAAAAAGATTAACTTAATGGATCTGATGTGTCATGAACTCTATAAAATACAACGAAAACATTTCCTTAGATGATTTCTTCTAAAAACGCCGCCAAATCGACCTGACCTTGTAAATGGTGTACTAAAGTCCCTATATATCTTTCGATTTTCACGAAATTTGGCATAGAGTAATGAATTAGGTCTAGAATGATGGGTGTTAAGTTTCAGATTTCAGATTTAGATATAGCTCCCATATATATTTTCGTCCGATTTAATGTAAATGGTGCACCAAAGTCACTATATATCTTTCGATTTGCACACAATTTGGCATAGCGTAATTAAGTCTAGAATGATGTGTGCTATGTTTCGTGAAATTCTCTTCAGATTTAAATATAGCACCTATATATTTTTTCTTCCGATTTTATGTAAATTGTGCACTAAAGACCAAAATTTGTCCGATTGCCACACAATTTTGTACAATGAACTGAGTTAATAAAGTTAATCTTTGGCAAGTCTCGTTGAAATCGGTTCAGATTTTGATATTCTACATATATATATTTTTCGTCCGATTTTACACAAAATTAAGAGAAACTTTGCACAACGTACTGAAGTTAGTATAACTTAGAAGTTGGATATAAATGCTGGCACAAAATTTTGCACAACTTAAATTTAGTCAGATTTGGATAGAGCTCCTATATATATTTTCTCCTGATTTTAAGTACGTGATGCACCAAGAACTCAAAAGGTGGTCGATATATATATGGCCCCGTCCGACTTTACTACTTTCCTTACTGGTTTAAATATATAATTTAGAGATCTTCCGTAGGAGTATATTCTTCAAATAGTTCTTGAAGACATGTCATAGGCATATCGTAGATTTTTCAAATGTGTTTGGTACTCCCATATGCATAGATTTTTAAATATTATTTTTAAGGGATTTCCAAAGGCCTTTCAAGACCTGTTGTAGGTGTAGATATTTATATTGACAGTTTGTAAATTTTAAAGGCATCCTTCTCGTTTCCTAGGAAGATACTCTATGAATATGAAAACTTCTTTGAAGAAGTCCTTCTAGAGAAAAATACTTTCTGTATTTGGAAAATCTATTTAGGTACTTTATGAAAAAATCCATTGAGGTCTTTTATGAATTTCATTATTATCTTCAATGAAGAAGAGCTTCTGGTCTGCCATGTGTATCCAAAATCATAATACTATAGGTTACAATACGAATCTTAGGATTAACATGAAATTAATCATGTCATTCTGAAAACTATACTAAATTTTGGTCAGATATAGAGTTGCTTCTTACAATGGGACAAAATTATGTAAATAAATTTAAAGCAAAATATC